TCCCCTGTTTTCTGGTCTCTGATAGGAGTCCAAGATGGCGGATCCACACTGCGTTAGCTGGTAGGGGACCTCTGCATGAATCTCTCCTTGCTCTCCATTCTCTGTCAGTTTTCTCACTTCATTTGGTGCTTGGCTGAGTTCTTTATCTCTTCATTTGATGTTTAGGGTTTCAGGATTGTTGTTTTCTCTGTTCGGCTTGGTTTTTCGGATCTTTGCTGTGGAGGGATGGCGTGGTGCTTTTACCTACAGTGCCATTTTGCCGGAACTCCCACTCCAAAAAATTTTTGATGTATTTCCTTTTAGGCAAGAACCATGTTTTATATATCTTTGTGGCCACACAGTTCCTTGTATATAAATGCTCAGTAAATTGAAAAACAAAACAAAACCCATTGCTGTCCAGTCAATTCCAACTCATGGTGAAAGCTGAATGAATTATGAATGAATGGAAGGGGAGGAATCTTGACTGTAAGTTTCTTGAAAACTGGGACGTTTTATTAATCCTGGAATTGCCAATGCTTTGCAGAAAACCTATCAATAAATGCTTCTTGGTTAAATTGTAGCTGTTGGATAAGAAGAGGTTGTCTATTTACTCCTGGCATAGGATCTCAGAGAATAGAAGAAATGGAACAAGGGAAAGTAAACCATGCATGAGTAAACCACATATGAGTGCTATGTACAGTGCTAGGCACCTTCAAAATTGTTACCTCAGTTAATCGTCACATTTTGTGGACTGGGTGTTATTTTACAGATGCAAAACCCGAGTTCTGAAATTTAAGAACCTTGCCCAAGTTCACACACTTGGTGTCATAGCCTGACAATTCTTGGGGTGCAGTTTGCCTTATTACTGTGGGTAGTCCTGTTTCCGCAGTGATTGAGAAGTGAAAGAGAATGGGTCCTTTATAAACCTGTTGCTGTGGAGTCAATTCCGACTCATAGCGACCCTATAGTAAGCACGCAAAAATACACAACTTTTTGGGTTCCCCTCGTGCATCAGAGGCGCTGTAACTCTGGGGAAAAGAGCTTCTGTTCTCGCCTTTCAACTATAGCCTGAGCAGGAACAATGAATACAATGAAAAGCTATCCCCGCCAAGTCGTTTTCCTCCGGCGGAACGCAGGTGTTGAGACCTCCGGGCGAGGGGGGGACAAGAGAGAGACGGACACACGGCCCGGCAGTTGCCGGGTAACGCCCGCCGGGGGAGTACCGACGTAATAAGGTCCCGCAGAAGTGTCACTGCCCCAGAGTGGGACCGCGTAGCCCGTTCTCTCCGCGCCGGCGGCCTGTCCCCGCGCTTTGGCGGGCTAGGGCAAGGGGAAATGTTGCAGGAGGAGTCGGATCTGTCTCTCATTATTGCTCATATAGTCCAAAAGCTCAAAGGCTCCAATTTGTATGCTCAGCTGGAGCGGCAGGCCTGGGTAAGTGAGGCGGAGTGGGAAGGGAGCGAGGCGGGCGGGGCCGCGGTGATGCCGCATCTCCTTCTACACCTACCAGTCTAAGTAGGAGGCCACCGCTGGTTTCTCCAGCTCCGCTGCGGTGCACGGAAAAACCTCCCTTCCAGGTACAAGCAAGCTTTGCTTGCTCAGCCCCAGGCGTAGGGAAACTAGATTTTTAAAAAGGGTGGGGCGCATCACGCCTTTCTTCAGGCCAGAGAAACGCTGAGGCTATTCATTGATCTGTTCGTATAGTCGTTACAGGGCCCAATTTTTTAAGCTGCTGAACTCAGTGAAGGTATCTTTGGACCACGCTTTCCTTCACTTTTTCGGTCCTGTGGGTGGGTGTAGGCGTTCAGGTGCTTTTTTTGCTTTCCCGTTAATCTATGCTCTTCTTGCACTTTACCTGCAGTGATATCTCCTTTATCCGCTAACTCAGCATTTGTTGAGTATTTTCTAATGCGGGTGCGCGGGTTAATCAGGATGTCTTTGCCTTTTTTCTGAATGTCATATAAAGGGAGTCATACAGTATGTAGACTTTTGAGCTTGGTTTCTGTCGCTTGGCACAATGTTTCTGAGATTCATCCATGTTGTGTATTTCAGTTGTTACTTTATTATTGTGCTTTAGGTGAAAGTTTACAGTACAAATTAGCTTCTCATTCAAAAATTTATACACAAATTGTTTTGTGGCATTGAATGCGATCCTCCCATTGTGTCAGCACTCTTCATCTCCCAAACCAAACCCACTACCCTCAGTGGATTCCGACTCACAGGGACCCTGTAGGGTTTCCAAGGCTGTCATTTTTTTTTTTTTAAATTGTGCTTTAGATGAAGGTTTGCAGGGTAAACTAATTTCTCATTAATACACAGTTTTGTGACATTGTTTGCCAACCCCACTATGTGTCAACACTCTCCCCTTCTTGACGTTGGGTTCCCCATTTCCATTAGTCCAGCTTTCCTGTCCCCTCCTGCCTTCTCTTCCTTGCTCCTGGCTTAGTGTGCCCATTTAGTCTCATGTACATGGTTGAGCTATGTGTATTATTGTTTGTTTTATGGGCCTGTCTAATCTTTGGCTGAAGGATGAACCTCAGGAGTGACTTCAGTACTGAGTTAAAAGGGTGTCCAGGGGGCCATACTCTCAGGTTTTCTCCAGTTTCTGTCAGGCCAGTAAGTCTGGTCTTTTTTTTTTTTTTTTGTGAGTTAGAATTTTGTTCTACATTTTTCTCCAGCTCTGTCCCGGACCCTCTATTGTGGTCCCTGTCAGAGCAGTCAGTGGTGGTAGCCAGGCACCATGTAGTTGTGCTAGACTCAGTCTGGTGGAGGCTGTGGTAGTTGTCGTCCATTAGTCCTTTGGACTAATCTTTCCCTTGTGTCTTTGGTTTTCTTCATTCTCCTCTGCTCCAGATAGGATGGGAACAGTAGACATATCTTAGATGGCAGCTCACAAACTTTTAAGACCCCAGACAGTACTCACCAAAGAAGGATGTAGAACATTTTCTTTATAAATTATATTGTGCCAGTTGAGCTAGATGTCCCCCAAGATCATGGTCCCCAGCCCTCAGCCCAGTAATTCAGTCCCTCAGGGAGTCTGGATGTGTCTATGAAGCTTCTATGACTTTGCCTAGGTCAAGCTGTGCTGACTTCCCCAGTATTGTGTACTGTCTTACCCTTCACCAAAGTTACCACTAATCAACTGTCTAGTTAGTGTTTTCCCACCCCACCCCTCCCCTCCCTCGGAACCATCAAAGATTGTTTTTTTTTGTGTATAAACCTTTTCATGAGTTTTTATAATAGTGATCTCATGCAGTATTTGTCCTTTGTGATTGACTTATTTCACTCAGCATAATGCCCTCCACATTAATCTGCGTCGTGAGATGTTTCACAGAGTCATCATTGTTCTTTATCGTTGCGTAGTATTCCACTGTGTGTCGGTACCGTAGTTTGTTTATCCATTCCTCTGTTGATGGGCACTTAGGTTGTTTCCATCTTTTTGATATTGTGAATAATGCTGCAATGAGTATGGGTGTGCATATGTCTATCTGTGTGATGACTCTTATTTCTCTAGGATATATTCCTAGCAGTGGATTGCTGGATTGAATGGTATTTCTATTTCTAGCTTTTTAAGGAGGTGCCATATCATTTTCAAAAATGGTTGTACCATTCTGCATTCCCACCAGCAGTGCATAAGAGTTCCAGTCTCCCTGCAGCCTCTCCAACATTTCTTTTCTTTTCTTTTTTTTTTTGGATTCATCCAAGGTTGTAAATCTTTATGGAAACAGACTGCCACATCTTTCTTCCACAGAGCTGCTGGTAGTTTTGAACCACTGACCTTTCGGCTAGCAGTCCAGTGCTTTAACTACTGTGCCACTAGGGCTCCTTTCCTCATGTCCATTTATCCAGTTTTCCTCTCCCTTCCTGCCTTCTCCTCTTTGCTTTTGGGTGGGTGTTCTGTTACTTTTTATTGCTGAGTAGTATTCCATTGTTTGGATGAATCATGATTGAGTTGTCCATTCATTGGTTGATGAGCATTTGCATTTTTTCTGCTTTTAGAGATTATGAGTAAAGCTGATATAAATATTCTTGTATAGGTTTTTATATAAATAACTGTTTTCATTTTTCTTGGGTAAATACCTAGGAGTGGAATTGCTAATCTAAGGTAAATGTATGTTTAATTCTGTACACTTCCAAAGTGGTTGTACCATGTTGAATCCCCACAGGCAATTATGAGAGTTTCCGTTGCCTTGAGTCCTTACTAGTATTTGACATTGTCAGTTTTTTATGAATTTTTATTAATTATACTCCTCTTGTAGGGGTGTGATGATATCTCATCGTAGCTTTAGTTGCATTTCCCTAATAACTAGTGATGATGAGGATTTTTTCATGTGCTTACATCTTCTTGTGAAGTATTCTGTTCAAATCTTTTGCCCATTGAAAAAAAATTGTATTGTTTGTCTTTTTATTGGTGAGTTGCAACAACTATATATGGAACAAGTTGTTTATCATATATGTTTTGCAAATGTTTTCTCTCGGTCTGTGGCTTATTTTTTTATTTTCTTAATTGAGTTTTTCAAAGAGCAAAAGTTTTAAATTTTGATAACATAAAATTTATCAATTTATCCTTTTATGATTCACCCTTTTTGTGCCCAACCTAAGAATCATTGCCTAACCCAAGGTCTCAAAAAGTTTCTCCAGGTTTTTTTTGTTCTAAAAGTTTTTTAGTTTTAGTTTTTATATTTAAGTCTATGGTCCACTTTGATTTAATTTTTGTATATGGTACAAGGTAACACTTGTTTTTGTTTTATGCATATGAAAGTCCGATATTTCCAGGATTTATGAGTCGGAATCTACTCGATGGCAACGGGCTACAGGGGATTTATTGAGGAAAAAAACTATCCTTACTCCCTTAAATTCCTCGTTCAAAATCAATTGAATATATGTATGAGTTAATAAAAATCTCCTTCTCAGTCTCTCTCTCTGTATGTGTGTGTATATATAATATACATACATATATATATATAAGCTGTTTTGTCCTTAATCATTTTCCAGCTTTTGCATGCATACGAGGTGATTGAAAACACCATGGTTTGGGTCAGGTGCACCTTAGTCTTCAGGGTGACATCTTTCCTTTTTAAACTTTGAAGAGGTCTTTTGCAGCAGATTTGCCCAATGCAATGCCTTGTTTGATTTCTTGACTGCTTCTCACATGGGTGTTGATTGTGGATCCAAGTAAAATGAAATTCTTGACAACTTCCATCTTTTCTTCGTTTATCATGATGTTGTTTATTGGTCCAGTTGTGAGGATTTTTGTTTTCTTTATGTTGGGGTGTAATCCATACTGAAGGCTGTATTCTTTGATTTTCATCAGTAAGTGCTTCAAGTCCTCTTCACTTTCAGCAAGCAAGGTTGTGTCATCTGCATAACACAGATTGTTAGTCTTCCTCCAATGCTGATTCCCCGTTCTTGTTCATATATTCCAGCTTCTTGGATTATTTGCTCAGCATACAGATTGAGTAAGTATGGTGAAATGATACAGCCCTGACACACACTTTTCCTGACTTTAAACCACGTAGTATCCCCTTGTTCTGTTCAAACAACTGCCTCTTGGTCTATGTACAGGTTCCTCATGAGCACAAATCAAGTGCTCTGGAATTCCCATTCTTCACAATGTTATCCATAATTTGTTATGAGCCACACGGTCCAATACCTTTGCATAGTCAATAAAACACAGGTAAAACATCTTTCTGATATTCTGTGCTTTCAGCCAGGATCCATCTGACATCAGCAGTGATATCCTTGGTCCCACGTCCTCATTTGAATTCAGCTTGAATTTCTGGCAATTCCCTGTCAGTGTACTACTGCAGCTGCTTTTGAATGATCTTCAGCAAAATTTTACTTTCGTGTGATATTAATGATACTGTGCGGTAATTTCTGCATTCTGTTGGATCACCTTTCTTTGAAATAGGCATAAGTATGGATCTCTTCCAGTTGGTTGGCCAAGTAGCTGTCTTCCAAATTTCTTTGCAGTAGACAAGTGAGCACTTCCAGCACTGCATCAGTTTGTTGAGACATCTCAGTTGGTATTCTGTCATTTCCTGAATAAGGAAGACCAAAGATGAATTGACACCTTAGAATTAGTGTTGGCGAAGAATATTGGATATACCATGGACTGCCAAAAGAACAAACAAATCTGTCTTGGAAGACGTACAGCCAGAATGCTCCTTGAGATTATTGCTTTGGACATGTTACCGGGAAGGATCAGTCCTTGAATAAGAACATCATGTTTGGTAAAGTAGAGGGTCAGCAAAAAAGAGGACGACCTTCAAGGAGACGGACTGACACAGTGGCTGCAACAGTGGGCTCAAGTATAACAATCATTGTGAGGATGGCACAGGACTGGGCAGTGTTTTGTTCTGTTGTGCACAGGGTTGCTATGAGTTGGCACCTAACAACAACATTAACGACTTCTGGACTTTCTATACGGTTCC